AACTGATAGAAGTAAATGTCCACAGATGTCAAGATTGCATTGTCAAAATTCAAGAGAGTTTTATAGACCTTCAGTATCATTCCCAGCCTTTGTCGCCTTCATACTTAGCTTGTCAGCCAGGTGTGGCTGAGCTCTGTCATCTGTGCCTTTCTTATTGAGTGCCGTATCTCAGGACTCAGCATCTCACTCTGTTACAACTTCCAGCCTCCCTTGAAACCATCACCTGCAAGTTGAGCAGTTACCCAGGTAGAAAATAAGTTGTGTTCCTTTCTCAAAATATGTCTGCTTATAGCCTCTTTGGGTTTCAGAAAAATTGACTACCAGCCCTTAAAAATCTTAATGCTGTGTACATTTTTCAACAAGTCTGTAAGCATGAAAGAAGTCAAAATGGAAGCAAAAATGTGAAGTGTTTTTTTTTCTTAAGGTTAAAAATTATGTGTACTGAATGCTGCCTGCCTTGAGTTGGATAGAATCTTAAACTCTTAATGAATCTGGTTTATACAACCCACATGTCCTGAAATACAAACTGTGTTCCTATGTCAGCCATTAATTTGAGAACTGTTACAAGGTGTTAATGACCTTTTTTTTTTCATATTCCCAATAAACAAGAACCCAACTCAGCAGATAGGTTTTCTGCCCATATTGTTTTATGAGTGTAATAGCTTTATGGCAATGATTCATTCAGTGGTTTATTGGCAACAAGACGAGCAACTGTAGTTAAATATCTTTTGAAATATGGTAATTTGCAAACTGAGCATCTTTGATTTTTGTGTAGTGGTATGAAGACCACCATCTGGCTCCGTCATCCTCCATTTAGTAAAGTCAACTGTCCCTGGCTTTGTGCGCTTTTCTGGGTGGCGGAAGAGTCAAGACTGCCATTTTCAGCCATAGGTGATAAGAAATGGCTGGCTGCTCCTCAGTGGATTTTTATTTGAGTGTGTGTGTGCTTGCAGCTGTGAATCATTGCTCAGAAAATAGGAAAGCATTTTGTGATGGTGCCTATTAGTAAGTGTCCTTCACCGGTTTTAATTAATTCAATGGTTCGTTCCCTTTAAAGGTGACCAGATAACCCATGCTAGACAGTTTGTGTTCTCAGATAAAGGCTTTTCATTTTTCTTTTAACTTTCCCTACTGTCTCAAATCAGCTTTGCTTTCCTCCTCCTTTCAATGCTGTGTACCTGAATCTAAGACTATTACATGGTCTGAAAGCTTTGAACATCAGTGCTGTGATCAGCCGGTAGAGCAGTCCAATTTCCACTTTGTTCAAACAGTGCTTTCCTGTCTTGTCTAGGAAAGGGTCTGCCAATTCATTTTTCTCCTCTTATCAGCAAAACACATATATACTGTGCTCACACCGCTTAATATAAAACACTGGGAAAATCCATGAACAATCAGGCGACCAGTTAGAAAAACTGGCCGGGCTCTGCTCTCGTCCCAAAGCACACACTTCCATTTGCCATCAAACGAGGAAGCAACTCAGCAGTGCACTGGTTTTGTAGATGTTGGTGACGGCAACTTACTAGGCTTCGACAGTGGTCTTTTTAAACGGGGCCTATTTATCATATGCTCAACTTCTTCGGAATCATCTTCCTCCCCTGCATCTGCCAACCTCCAAATCTGGTTTACAGGCAGATAGTCTTGGACAGTAGTGACTAATATTGGGGAAATTCTTGGCAGAGTTGTAGGAGTCCAACCCCTAACCCCTTCCAAGGCACTCGGACCAAATATGGCACGTGGGGCTTTCATGTCTGTCATGCGCGGGCTCTTCCAACCCCCAAATGTAATACACGCTTCATCCATTGTCTTGGTTACTCATTTTGTTACGGAGAGATGGCAGTTTTCCTTCCTGCAGAGACCCAGCAGGAGAGAACATGGAGCAAAGAAAGGCAAATGTTGTAATTCTGCTCTCAGGGCGTGCAATTTTATTTCAAAGCTGTGAAAGGCTTAAAAGTGGTGCAAAGCATGGACCCCTTTATTTTGGCCCCTGCTTTATTTCCTGGCTGGTTTTGCTTTGCCCACTCTGTTTGTTGGAGGCTGAGACAGAGGAGGCACGAAAGAGAGACTATGAGCATACGTTCCCACACGTCTGCGCTGGCGGCATCACGCACCATGTTCACGCAGGTGCATTTCTTCAGCAGCTGCCTCCAACATGCTGCAGACCTGAGCAAACAAAATTTCAGTTTCCTAGGTAAGGGCACGAGCTAGGCCACCTGGAGTCACAGACTGCTTCCATCAGTGACTAGCTCTGTGACCTTAATCTCTCTCTTTCCTTATCTGCAAGCAAGATTAGAAAAGTACCAATCTCATAGTGTTGCAGCGAAGTCCAAAATATTTAATAGTTGCAAAGTCACTTACAACAGCATGTGGCATCTAGTAAAATACTCAGTAATTTTAATGATGATTTTTGCTATCCTTGTCCTCAAAGTATATATAATACAGTTAATAGAAAACCTAAAAAAATCACGTGAAATTGTGTAGTACACATTGTAAATTCAGTAGGATTGCGGGGGGGGGGGGACTGGACAATATAATTTGCTATAAAAACTGGCATTTGGACTAGCTTTACCAAAATCACATCATTGTGAGTCTTTGTGCCCTGCCTCATGAACTCTCCTAGAATGTTCTTTTCCCTCCCCACCCATTTTATACTCATAAGTGTTCTTTTGAAGCTCTTCTACAAATAGGACTTGGTGTTCCACTCTGTGTTTGCAGAATCCAGGCTCTTTAGTTTTATTGACACTGAAAAATGCAGTGCGCCAGGAACTTCCATGGAGCTAAATGCTGAAGTCAAGGGGATGTGTGAGGCCTGAGACTCGAGGCCTGGTTCTCCTAGTAGGAGGTTTGGGTTTGTTTATGACTTGAGGCAGGTGATGTAAGGATGAGAAAATTGCTGGGAATAACAACCTACAGTAAAAACTCGGGGGAATGCCATGAAACGTTA